CAGGCTCTTTTTCTTCCTCTGTTGTTCCAGGCGAGTAGATGGCTACTTGCAAACTTTTGAAGACCTCAGACACTGCATAATGAACTAGGAGACAGATCGGAAGCACTAAACATGTTATTAGGCCTAATAACTGGATGACCCATGAAACCGTAACTCTAATCCCCTAAATCAAGAAACCAAATCCTGTGAGGTATTTGGTTGTACATAAGCAGCCTCAGCAGCTACTCTTTGTTGTTGTTGTAAATATATCTTTAAACAACTTTTGCTAATTCAGCTTTTTATAGGTTTACAACTTATTGACAACAATTACATTAATTGGCTGTGCAACCTTACCCTTAATCAATGTAATTTTTCCATCCCCTTAAACCAAAACTCAGTGCTCCATAAGCAATAATGCTTCCTCCCTCCTTTTTCCCTTCTCTCTTGTCCCTGGTAACCACTAATAAACTTTGGTCTTTATACATTTGCCTGTTCTTGTCTTTTTATATATGTGAGGTCATATAGTATTTATTCTTTTGTGATTTGCTTACTTTACTCAGCATCATGTCTTCAGCCTCCTTCTATGTATCAAAACTTCATTTATCTTTCTGGCTGAGAAGTATTCCATTGTATGTACATACCATATTTTGTTTATACATTAATCTCTTGATGGACATTTAGGTTGTTAATACCTTTTGGCCATTGTGAATAATGCTGCAGTGAATGTTGGTGTACATATATCTGTTCCTATTGTTGCTTTCAAATCCCTTGGGTATATTCTTAGCAGTGGAATTGCTGAGTCATATGGTAGTTCTATTTTAATTTTTTGAGGAACTGCCACATTGTTTTCCACAATGGCTCTACTGTTTTGCATTCCTACCACCAATGGACAAGGTTCCAATTTCCCCACATCCTCACTAACATTTGTTATTTTCTGTTTCTTTCTTTCTTTCATTTTTTTAAAATCTTAGCCATCTGTCGTTGTTAGGTGCCGTCGAGTTGATTCTGACTCACAGCAACCCTATGTACCACAGAATGAAACACTGCCTGGTCCTGCGCCATGCTGACAATCATTGTTATGCTTGAGCCCCTTGTTGCAGCCATTATGTGAATCCATCTCATTGAGGATCTTCCTCATTTTCGCTGACCCTGTACTTTACCAAGCATGATGTCTTTCTCCAGGGACTGATGCCTCCTGACAACATGTCCAAAGTAGGTGAGAAGAAGTCTTGGCCATTCTTACTTCCAAGGAGCATTCTGGCTGTACTTCTTCCAAGACAGATTCGTTGATCCTTTTGGCAGTCCAGGGTGTATTCAATTTTCTTCACCAACACCATAATTCAAAGGCGTCAGTTCTTCATTCTTCCTTATTCATTGTCCAGCTTTGGCACATATGAGGCGATTGAAAATACCATGGCTTGGGTCAGGCGCACCTGAGTCTTCAAGGTGACATCTTTGCTTTTCAGTACTTTAAAAAGGTCTTCTGCAGCAGATTTGCCCAATGCAGTGCGTCTTTTGATTTCTTGACTGCTGTTTCCATGGGTGTTGATTGTGGATCCAAGTAAAATGAAGTCGTTGACAACTTCAGTCTTTTCTCCATTTATCATGATGTTGCTTATTGGTCCAGTTGTGAGAATTTTTGTTTTCTTTATGATGAGGTGTAATCCGTACTGAAGGCTGTGGTCTTTGATCTTTATCAGTAAGTCCTTCAAGTCCTCTTCACTTTCCATAACCAAGGTTGTATCATCTACATAATGTGGGTTGTTAGAGTCTTCCTCCAATCCTGATGCCCTGTTCTTCTTCAGTCCAGATTCTCGGATTATTTGCTCAGCATACAGATTGAATAGGTATGGTGAGAGGATACAACCCTGAAGCACACCTTTCTTGACTTTAAACCACGCAGTATCCCCTTGTTCTGTTTGAACAACTGCCTTTTGATCTATGTACAGGTTCCGCATGAGCACAATTAAGTGTTCTGGAATTCCCATTCTTCGCAATGTTGTCCATAATTTGTTATGATCCACACGGTCAAATGCCTCTGCGTAGTCTATAAAACACAGGTGAACATCTTTTTGTTATTCTCTGCTTTCAGCCAGAATCCGTTTGACATCAGCAATTATATATCCCTGGTTCCATGTCCTCTTCTGAATCTGGCCTGAATTTCTGGCAGTTCTCTGTCAATATACTACTGCAACCACTTTTAAATTGTCTTCAGCCAAATTTTGCTCGCATATGATATTGATATTGTTCGATAATTTCCGCATTCAACTTGATCACCTTTCTTGGAAATAAGCATAAATTTGGATCTTTTCAGTTGGTTGGCCAGGTAAGCTGTCTTCGAAATTTGTTGGCATAGATGAATGAGCACTTGCAGTGCTGCATCCATTTGTTGAAACATCTCAGTTGATATTCTGTCAGTTCGTGGAGCCTTGTTTTTCGCCAGTGCCTTCAGTGCAGCTTAGACTTCTTCTTTCATTACCATCAGTTCCTGATCAGATGGTACCTCTTGAAATGGTTGAATGTTGCCGATACTTTTTTGTATTGTGACTTCATGTATTCCTTCCATCTTCTTTTGAGGCTTCCCTGTGTTGTTTAATATTTTCCTTGTGGAATCGTTCACTATTTCAACGCGAGGCTTGAATTTTTTCTTAAGTTCTTTCAGCTTGAGAAGTGCCGAGCATGTTCTTCCCTTTTGGTTTTCTATCTCCAGCTCTTTGCACATGTCACTGTAATACTTTACTTTGTCTTCTCGAGCTGCCCTTTG